TTTGGGAAGCTAAGGCCACCATATGGTTGCTGTAGATCAAATGTGACCCAGGCATTAAGTAAATGTGGATCTCTGAACAGTAGTGATGATTTTCTATCACACTTGTGCTATATTATAGTAGACTTTAATGCTGATCGGGGTATAACGATAATTCGTGCCTTTGTTGTGAGAGTGCGAGTTAGACTAGATAAAGTTGGCGTCAAGCTTCTGGTTAACACTGGGGATAGCCAGAAGTTGATTTACAACACATCTTGGCCAGATGGGATTACATGTGACTATTGGAAAAGGAAGACACGATATATCTCACCAAGGTTTCAATCTCACAATGACTCCTGTGATTCCTGGAATCAAAGAGCTTGAACTGATTAACTACTAATCATGGATAAGTTAACTCATGTCACTTATGCTTTGATAATTTATATCATTTATACCATTCTGCCAATAAGCATTATTAGTACCAACATGAATAATCAGGACAGTTTAATATCAGAAAGTGTGAACCTGGTGACATTTAATGTGTATGGGTATAATACTATTAAGCCCTATCTAGAACAACTTTCTAACTCAGCTGATATTATAGGTTTAAGTGAACACTGGCAATATGGGGAATCCTTGAAGGAATTATACAGCATTAATGCACATTTTATGAGTCACCCTGTAGGATGTATTTCTGCCCAAAAGAAAGCACAAGGTAGACCTTATGGTGGTGTCTGTTTGCTATGGAGGAATAATATGTCTCATATGATTTCTCCAATAGATTGTCAGTCTGATTTTATTTGTGCCATAAAAATTGATATGGTAGATAAAACATACATTGTTATAAATACGTACTTACCAAGTAGTAAACCTGAAGGGTGTGCAGATTACATTGCTGCACTTGATGATCTAGATAGGATACTTAACATGTGTTTACTGCAAACTCCAAATGTAATTTTAATGGGTGATTTAAATGGTCACATTGGTATAAGTGGAGGTCCAAGAGGTATTGGGAAGCCTTCAGTGCAAGGTGCACATTTAATTGATTTTATTTTTAGGAATGGGTTAATTGTGACAAACTTATTAGATATGTGTAAAGGCCCCCTCAGCACCTATGTGGGTCACATGGGTCAACAATCCTGTATTGATTATATTCTTGTCACACCAGAGTTGCATTTTAGTATATTGGAGGTCAAGCATTTAGCAGATTGTAATCTAAATACTTCTGATCATATTCCGATTTCAATTGTTTTAAAAACAAATGCATTTAAAAAATGTCATAACAATGCTATAAGTCCTATGAAACTGTGCTGGGGAAAGTTAAGCTCAGACAATATTCAAACCAGATATACTGAACCACTGAATGGATATTTTAAGGAAGTCTGTGATTATTATGAAGATGTGGATATTGTTAATGGTAATGTGATAGATCAGGTGTTGAATGATGTATCTGCAGCAATGGTTAATCAAGGGAAATGTGCAATTCCAATAACTAAGTCAAATAGATTTCTTAAACCATATTGGAAAATGAACCCCCACTTAAAAACTTTAGTGGAAGAAAAGAACATTGACTATAAACGTTGGCGTAATGCGGGAAAGCCAAGACACCCAAATGACCCACTATGGCTGAAGCATAAAGAGTCAAAAAAGAACTTTAGAAGAGCGCTACGAAGAGCAGAATATGAATACTACCTTGATGAATGTAATACTATAGAACAAGAAATAGACCAGCATAAGCTATGGCATTTAATAAAACGAGGCAACAAGAATAGCCAAACCAGTAGTGCGCCTAGCATAAGGAATGAGCAGAACATGTTAATAACTGAAGAAGATGAAGTAAGAGAGACATGGAAAGAATACTTTGAGAAACTGGCCACACCAGATGGAAATAATAATACATATGATGAGGAGTTCAAACAACAGATCGAAGATGACCTCAGAGTGATGGATGATCAGTCAAAGCATGAGCACTGTCCTGTATTAGATGACCCCCTTACTCCAACTGAGATTGCTGACATATGCAAAGATCTGCCCAATAATAAAGCCCCAGGGTATGACAATGTAGCTTACGAGCATATTAAACATGCAGGACCAGCCTTATATAAGCTCTTAGCAGTCATTTTTAATTTTATTATAAAAAGTGAATATATCCCACTTAATTTTAGGAAGGGTGTAATTGTACCATTATTCAAAGGTGGCAATCTAGATAAATTATCAATGGATAACCATAGGAGGATAACTTTACAAACCACAATATGCAAATTATTTGATGCTATAATACTCAGAAGAATAAAAGTTTTGCAAGAGCTAAATGTGATAAGACCACCATCAATTTATCAATTTGCAGGAAAACAGAATATGTCATGCTTACATGCCTCATTTTCATTACAAGAAGCCATGAGTTATTTTATGGAAATGGGTTCAGAAGTATATATTATGTATTTTGACACCAGGAAAGCGTATGATACTGTATGGTTAAATGGGTTATTCCATAGGATATATAGTCATGTTGGCATTAAAGGAAAATGTTGGAGAATTTTAAGGAATTTGTATTCCTCATGTCATGATGTTGTTCGAATTAATGGCAAATTTTCAGATGGGTTCATGTCTAGACAAGGTATTCGGCAGGGAGGAAAGTCATCCTTGTTAATGTATCTGTACTTCATTGACCCTTTGTTAGATAAGCTGAACAAAAATGGGTGTAAAATGTATGATGTAACAATAGGTGCTCTAGGATATGCTGATGATTTAGTGGCCCTTGGACTCCACAGAATAAGTTTACAAACATCGATAGATGTTGCATATAGATTCTCCAGATGCTGGAGATTTGATTTTAACATAAAGAAATGTGCTATCATGATTCTTAATAATACTTGTAGAGGAGTAGGGAACCCTGTATTTTATCTAGGAAATAATAGCATAAATATTGTTAACTCTTACAAACATGTTGGGGTGACATTAAATACAGATGTAACTAGGAAAACTGATACTGTAAATAAGAAGATAAGTGAGGGAAGAAGGTCATTTTTTGCCCTCTGTGGAGTGAGATGTGAAAAGAGTATTTTAAATCCCCTTGTTTTATCAAAATTATTCTGGGCAGTTGCAGTCCCAAAAATGCTCTATGGCTGTGAGGTGTTGTATTTTAAACAAGCTGAGCTTGATTTGTTAAATGATGCACAAAGGCAAATAGCCAAAAGAATTCAGAAATTACCCATGAATACACCAGATATTGCTAGTTTGGGTTGTTTGGGATGGTTAGAACTCAGCGCTTATATAGATCTTCGGAAAATGTACTTCTTTAGGTCAATTGTAATGCTAAATCCAAGTTCAATCTGCAGAAAACTGTTTTTCCTGAGAATGCATGCAATGAAAGATAATATAACGGGAGTAATTATGAACAGGAGTATTGTATATAACATGTTACAAACCTTTATCAAGTATGAGTTGAATGATATGATAATTAATGTTATTGAACAAAACATCATCCCTTCAAAAGAAATATGGAAAAAGAAATGTAAAACTAATGTATATAAGCTTGTAATTGAAAGATGGAAAATGCTCCTTATGTTAAGTCACAAACTAAATGTTTTTAGAATTGTATGTCCCAAGTTCAAAGTGAATGCTTGGTGGACTATGAGCAAAAGAGCACCTATAGTTAAAAATGAATGTTTCCAAATGGTGAGGCTACTAACTGGAGGATGTTCATTAGAGGTATTTACCCAAACCAATGTCATAAGGGAAGATAGGAAATGTACCCTTTGTAATGCTGGGGTTGGTGACTTAATACATTTTGTACAACAGTGCAATGTTTTTACTAGATTCAGATGTTTGTTTAGAAATACAATGAAGGCAAAACTTGTTAAACTAGATTATGATAACTTTTACATGAGATCAGAAACTGAAAGGTTTTATATCATGATGGGATTACAAGAAATACCAGGTATAAATGATGAAATGGATTTTACTATTAAGTTCCATAGCTGCAAAATGATATGCAATATGTATAACTATAGAAATGTGAAATTGAAGGAACTAAATTAATTTAAGTCAAGAACTAAATGTAGCATTGTGTAAATAATACTTTTTATTACTCTTTCCTTTGTAATGTAAATATGTTGTAAAAAAAGAAAGTATTGTCACCAAATTGGTGGTTGAATAAATATACAAATACAAATACAAATAACCTTGGTGAGATATATATATTTATCCCATATTTGGACGTGTTATGGGTACATAAAGCCGGTTTGTAAAAACTTATATTTTCATCAGCGGGCAGATATAGCTTTACGTCCCGCTCCGAGTGGGCAGATATAGTATATCTGCCCGCTACGTCATAATCGCTGTTCCTGTATTGGTTCTTTTTTGTAACGTTCGCATACTGTAAACGACAATGGAGAAAAACGCAGACAATCGCGATCTGTTTGATGCTTTAGAGAAGGGAAGGAGCAGTATGCCCTGTTAATAATCAAATATTTGAACAGGAAAATCCGGCTACGGACAAGAATAAAAGACTGGACTTGAAATATTTAAAATAATTCCAATTGGTTGCAACAATTGAACAATGTAATTGGTATGGGATAAACAGATCATCCTATAGTCGGTTCAGGATATTGGGATTATCCTTGGCCAATATAATATATCTTCCCTCGGGACCTACGGCCCTCGGGCAGATATATTATATTGGCCTCGGGATAATCCCAATATCCTGAACCTCATATAGGATAATCTCTATATATCTGGGTGTGGTACAAGAACTAGGAAACCATTTAAAGGGTTAGTTTTAATTGCTTGAGGGTTATCTCGAAGTTACTTGGCATGCTAGAAGGTGTGATATTTATCATTGCGTTTCTTGAGAGAAAAAATCTTTTTTTGCCAGTCAGTATGATAATGTGAGCCAAAGGTTGAGGAAATATCGGACATATACTTAGTATGAAATCATGATATGATGCACAAGGAAGTACATGTACTAGGAAAAAATTAAATATCTAACATTAGTAACTTCATGTTAGTCTCTATTTATTTTAGTCCCAAATGAGTTCTCACAGTGTAGGAAGAAATAGTAGGAGCGTCAGAAGCATTAAATGCACTATAAGGCACTAAACCCGATTTGTTTGGTTTGGTGTTTTCCAACATGGCTGTACCTACTACAATAACACTGAATCCAAGTACAGATGAAGAACTGGTCAGTATTAAAAGTATTTTAAGTCCTAATTTAATGAAGAAGAATGGAGCTTGTCTTGCCTTTAAACATGTATTTGTACCTCAAGATTGTCAATTGGGGAAATTGCTGTTCTAAACTTAACTTAATGTGTTCACGATTATGTCTTTTTGCTAATTGTTGTGCTGAAATTTTGCCTTAACTTGTTCATAATTATGATGCACCAAACTGATTAATTAATTAATTAATTAATTAATTAATCTAACTTCACTCTTGTAGTACTGCACCGGATATCTCACTAGCAAGTGTCGCCTTGTGCTCCATTACATACTCTCAGTCTGCACTCTGGGTCTATGGCTCCTGCTCATGTACTGGAAGCCAGAGTGGGAAATACGCTCAAAGAAATTAAAATGCTCAATAAATAAGGCTGATAGTGTTCTTTTAAAGGTATGTTTGTTATTATTGAATTTCTAGTCCTAAATCAATCATATACAGTGTTCTTCCAATACACCTGCACAGGTGTATGGAATAGTGAGGAGATACTTATGCAAAATACAAGGCAATGAATCATTGACATGGGTCACCTTACAAAACATAAAAATGGACAAAAAGGAATTTGAAGATACATCACAATGTTGATTAAAGTAGGAAAAAACTACTTTCTTTTGTCTTACAACCAATATTGTAGTCCTCAATTAACATCATGCATATTTACCATGGATATTCTGCATTTGACCATTCTACTCTTTTTCAGGATTCTTTTGGAGCATATTATACAGAATGTGTGGTAGTTACTTCAATCGAAAACATAACATTGTAAGTATAATCACAATTTAGAGTCATGTTTATCTTTTTTATCTCCTCTATTTGAAGTGACCTTGGAGTTATGGTTTATCTGGTATTGATTGCTCTATGAACTTTCAAATACATGTATTTGTTACAATTCAAACTCACTTACATTGAGAATGAAATCTCATAAGTAACCAGGCTCGTAGCCAGGGGGGGGGGGGGGTTCGGAGTGTTTGAGAGGGGTTTTAAGGCTGGTACATCAGAATCTTACTGTGAACAGTTTCAACACAGCATTCACCTTTTGATTTTACAAAATCGCCTGATGTTTTAGGGACTTTTCAACTTATTAATTTTGCCTGTTGTTTTCATTCAGTTAGCCTGTTGTGAGAAATTCTTGTGAAACCACTGGTTTTACACAGGTTTTATTGTATATGAAACAAAATTGACAAGATTTTCCTCATTGCCAGGTTTTCTCAGTATGTGTACAGTGGAGACAGTGGAGACCTTGAGAGCTCAGATGATGAATTAAATGACACAACAGCTCTCACGAGGAATAATGTAAGTAGCATACAGTATTTCCTTTACTATTTTATTTTATTTTATTTTTTTTCAAAATATTCATTGAACCCAAGAATTTAAATGAATTTTTCTATACTAAATAGGTATGCAGTATTGAATGCAAATTATGAAATTGACATGATACTTTGACAACTCTGCACCCATTATAATTTTCAAATGATACTAATTTGTTACTTTCATAGTACATTGAAATAAGTGCACAGATTAGCTGGAGGGTGTTATTCTGGATTTTCAGACTTTACATGTATAAGACTTTCTAAGATTTCTGTGTTTTAAAGTTCACATATTTCTGAGTTTTCATTTATAATCTGTTACCTTGTAACAGGGATAGCATATAGCCATTCTGGAATCTAAACATACTAAGAACTGATATGTGGAGTATAGTTTATTTTTATTTCAGAGGACTACAAAGTCTATACGTTACTTTGACCATAAATGTGTTCGCTATATCTGGGATCCTTGTAAGAATGAGTTTGCTCCTCTACCTGGGTTAGATAGGGATGTAAAATGCTTAGACTTTCATAATGAGTACAAAGGAATGTCTTCCAGAGTGCAGAACCAGTTGTAAGTCGTTATTTTTACTTACATTTTTTGTTAATGTCAAATAGTTTTCATGACTTATATTTTAAAACCAAGATTGCCACAATATACCATTGTTGTTCTGTCCATTGCCCATAACATAGCCATTTTTTAAAATTCCATTGCCAAGAGTGAAAAGTGGCTACCATTGGCAGACAGGCAACTCTGAGTTTCTAACCCTGATGTCAAATGAGATTGAATTCAATCCAACTTAAAGGTTTAATTAAATAACCTAAACAAAAAGCAATAATGTGAGGGCTATCATATAGCTAAATTCTGTGAAGTTGTAAAAAATTTAAAAAATCGTGTTTCAGGGAAAGATAAATATTATCATTAATCAAGTTTTCATTAATACTTTTTTCTTTTATTTTAGACGTAAGGTTTATGACAAGAATTCCATTGACATTGAGGTGAAACCAATATTTAAACTATTTATTGAAGAGGTAAGACTTTTAGAATACATGTACATAAAACATTTTAAAATACGAATTTAAGGGCATGCAAATAAATTAAAGGGTTCTTAAGCGCGAAAATTTTAGGCGGCGAATATTTGGGCTTTTACAGTATCCTTAAATTGCAAAAATAAATAAATATTCTCTCTTGTATTCTCTCTTACTGTTTGTGCATAGATGTAGACTGATTATAGATACATGTACATAAATGTTTTTAAAATATCCTTAAATTGCAAAAATAAAAAATATTCTCTCTTTTATTCTCTCTTACTGTTTGTGCATAGATGTAGACTGATTCTAGATGTATGTGTATGGTATGTAATGTGTATGTGTCTAGATAATTGATGTACACACTGACTCTACTGGCCCCTGTTACTTGTAGGTGATGAACCCATTCTATATCTTCCAAATAGCCAGCATTACACTGTGGATGACTGATAGCTACTACTGGTATGCTGCCTGTATCTTCCTCATCTCTTCCATCAGTATAGGCGTCTCACTTTATGAAACTAGGAAGGTAAAGAACAATTAGGATTTCACCTTTTATGCTGCCTTTTGAAATGTGTAGTCTAAAAACCCTCGGGGAAATCATTCTTTTAAATAGTGAAGTCAAAATAATAACTCATTCTAGGCATTGGTATACAGGGTGCCCCAAAAAGGTGAGCCTTTGACCAACCTGTATACAGTATGATATTGGATTTATCTGAGAAAGTTGTATCGGGCATTCCCTTGCATTTAAATCTCCTACGTCAACAGCCCTAACATGGTCCATCGTTCATGTTTGCTTTCCTGTTTTCAGCAAAGGATCACATTACGAGATATGGTGTCCTCACATCACACTCAGATAGAAGTGTGCCGTGGAGATGGAGGTAGGTTGTGTACTATTACCATATTGTAGTTAAAGTCAACAAATAAACATTATCCTGTGGAGAGGGTCAAGGGTAATAGTCAATATAACGTAAAGCTACTCTCCATTGTTATATTGTTGGCCACACAGAGATAATATTGAATCTTGTATGATATACTGAGAAAACACTATTGTCGTGAGATGATTCTGATTCTAAATGAAGTATGTAGGTTTTATTCAGTCTGGACGCTAATAATCTGTTCAATATATATTCTCCATCATTTGTATCATAATTGTGCATTCATCATATTAGATGACACTATTAGGTTTTCAATTTTATTACCATGGTCATAAATCTATTCATCTGCAATGTTAAATGCATGTACTCACATATCCAGATACTGATATCGATTCCTTAATCAAAATGATATTACTCAAAATGAGATGATATCATGTACATATCTTCTATGATTACAGTCTATGAGGAGACTGACAGCTGTGATCTTGTGCCTGGGGATGTGATTGTTGTTCCTTCTAAGGGGTGTGTCATGGCATGTGATGCTGTACTCATTGCGGGAAACTGTATTGTCAATGAAAGTATGCTCACTGGTAAGGATGTTTTACATTTATAAAATGAATAATATAGATGGCTTTACTATTGACGGCAAGCAGAAATTTTAAATTTCCAGAGCTCCTTATTACAGAATTTTGAATTTCATTTCAAAAAGGCGCCTGCCTGTATCTTGGCATATACTTTGCATATACAACTTAAACTTTAACTTAAAGGTGAAAGTGTTCCAGTGACTAAGACTCCCTTAGCTCACCAGGAGGATAGTGAGATATACTCACCCATAGAGCACAAACGTCATACCCTATTCTCTGGGACTCAAGTTATACAGACTCGTTACTATGGCAGCTCTAAGGTCTGTGCTGTTGTCGTGAGAACAGGTAAGTTCAGAGTGTTGAAATACTATTTAAGCTTCAGTCACATTTACTCTATGGCTGGCGTATGGTGACTGTAGCTTCACAAAGTCAATACAGAAAATCTGCATCATACTGCACTGCTTATCTCTATATGGTATACAGCATATTTACCTCGATTTTGGGAAATTTACTTAAAATAATGATTTCACTATCTCGAAAGTATATTAAAATGTAATTCATAAATGAATGGTTTAATAGAATGTTTGATTTGAATTGATTTTAATACATGTATATATTCAGGTTTCTCCACTGCCAAAGGAGATCTAGTCCGCTCAATTCTATTTCCAAAACCAATGGGCTTCCAATTTTACAAGGACTCTATGAAGTTTATAGGCTTTTTAGCATGCTTAGCAGGACTAGGGATGATTTACAGTATTGCAGTGTACATAAGAGACAAGGTGAGTCTTTTGGTGGTTTCTAGACTATCTGGCTAAATAATATTTTAAAATCTCAAAAATTCCTATTATTTCTGAAAAATATGGCCCTTAAAGGGCAGATCATGGACCAGTGTCAAAATATATGTAAGTTTGGATATTTCATCAAGACTTTTAAACATATATTTTTATTATTTAAAGAATAAAGAAACCTCCTAGATAAGATGAACATTATTTCAGCTGATATTCCTCTTGAAACATGGCAGATCTTAAAAATCCATATGTGGGACTCACTTTATAGAAGCTGTGAACTGAACTTACACTTCTTAATGCTGAAATTGATAGTTTATCCATACATATCCATACAAAAAACAGGTATGCCAAAGAAGATGTTAAGCCAAATGTTGCCCTGATACAGTTCAGAAAAAGTAAAAAAATGAATTTCTCTCTACAGGCCCCTTATTGCCCCTAATTGCATATTTATTGATCATTATTTCAGGCCACCATATCCAAAACCATAATCCGTGCATTAGACATAATAACCATAGCTGTGCCGCCAGCCTTGCCAGCTGCGATGACTGTTGGAACAGTGTATGCGCAAAACAGACTCAAGAAAGCAGGCATATTTTGCATAAGTCCACCTAGGATCAATATATGTGGCAAATTAAAGCTCATATGTTTTGACAAGGTGTGTTAAATTGGTTTATGTCTAATTTGGAGGATCACTACCTCAAATGCAATTTTTGAATTAAGTTAAGTACAACAATATTCACAATATACAACAATATGTTCAGAAGAAAATTAATCTGAAGATTCCAACATAACCTGCAGTGGGAAGTTAAAAGTTCACTTCAAACACTGGTATAATATAGTGGTGCAGTTCATGGAGAAAAGGAATTCAAAACATTTGAAAAAATGTGAACTCAAATCAAATCATTACAACTGTCAAATTGTAATTATTTTTTTACATGCAATCAATTGTGTTCCAGACAGGGACACTTACTGAAGATGGTTTGGATTTATGGGGAGTTGTCCCTTTACAAGATAAAAGGTACAAAAATATATTTAACAAGGCCCAATCATACAGTACAAAGTCAAATTGTTATTGAGTGCACCAAAATTAAAAGAAACTATTAAAATTTCATATCTGATAAATAGATTGATTATATAATGAATTGCATTTTAATCTATATACCTTGTGTTTGTTTGCAAAATAGATATAATATAAAACAAATTGATAGGAAATAGAATAGTTGTTCATTTGTTGGTATTATTTATACATATATACATGTATTTAAGAAGATTATGACAACTAAAGATACTATCACACTAATTTTTATTTAGATTTTTACCTGTTGAACAAGACCCCAGTGAGATGCCAAGGGGTCCATTTCTAGTTGCCATGGCATCATGTCATTCTCTAACTATGATTGATGGAGAGCTTACTGGGGACCCCTTAGACTTGAAAATGTTTGAATCTACAAACTGGGTAAGTTTAAGTACACATTTATATCACATAATACTTAACTTATGTACAGGAATGTACACATTTTTCAATAAATGCATTTAACTCAGTTGTTAGAACATTTGCTCCATAATGATAAAATAGAATAAATAATTAAAATGAAATAGATAAGGATATGTAGCCTTTAACCTTTGAAAATATATCTAGAGATGTATTGCATCTTATGATTTGAATGTAAAATATTGATTTGTGATAAAGTGGCAGCAAAAATAAAGAGCGCATGTTGAAATGATATTTTTGTACAAAAAAGTCTTTAACTCCTCTCTATCCCCAGTCTCTATCTTTTGCTGCCCCTTTAAGGTTGGTCTGTATGTTGATAATTTTTACTAATTTTCATGATTACAAAAGATCAGTAATGTTTTTCACATTTTACTAGTATATGGATATTTACACATTATGACAGATGTGAAAAATATTATCACTCATCAGTCATGAAAATTAGTAAAAAAAATTCTGGACATACAGATCTACCTTATCTTGTTTATCATTTGGATAACTATATTCCCCTGTATTAGAATCACTTCTTCAATAAACACTTTTATGTGCACTTGTCTCAGTACATCTCTTCTGGAAAGGATGTTGTGATGTGTATGTTTGTACTGAAGTGCAAGGGATGACAAACAGTATGCCTATTGATTTCATCGTACCTAAAAAAAGGTACGATATTGTTTATCATAATCACCAGCTGACATCTACAGTTACCAACCTGGAAACAGGAGTATCCTGAAACACCTCCACAAGAAGCAGAAAGAACATACAAATATCACAACCCCCAAATTGATAGTTTTTACATTCTATGTTCAATTATCATTTTCATAATTACTTAAAACAAGCATGTGACTCCTTATTGATAAATTATGATATTTTGACAACTGAACTTGACTTGGTGTCATACAGAAAAGGGTCCACTTCAGTTCAAAATATCATGATTCATCAATAGAGAGATGCAAGTTGGACTTTTGTTTGAGTCATTCTTTATGTTTTGAACAAATATGGAGAATGTTAAGACTGATGGACAAGGATAAATTTTCTTTTTCAAACCTTGAATTTGGGGGTGGTTTTTCTTTTCTCATCAGACAATTTTGAGACAATTTATTTTTTCCAGGAAGAAACTGTTATCTGCTGTGACAAGTTCCAGTGATTAAAAGAGCCAGGGGACAACATTTAATTTGATGCCCTCCTTCTCCCAGTATCCAATAATTCTTGGTTTTGTCGACCCTCCTCCCCCTGCATTTTTGTATTGTAAATGTATATGTACATGTAGGTGCTGGAAGAACCAGGGGATGACAACAGTAAATTTGACAGCCTCATGCCAACAGTAGTCCGACCCAGAACATATGAGAGCTACATCCTCCCAGATAACCTCTCCATGCAGATACAGTTCAGTGAGGTGTGCTTACTTTCTGTCCTGCTTGCACCTATGCTTGCACCCATGCTTTAATGTCACATTGGTCAAACCTACAGACCTTATGCACACCTTATGTATACTTCCGACTATTTATTGTAACACTTTGGTTTATCCGGAGGGAAATATAGATTATATTCTATTTCCTCATCAGGTGTACCATTGGGTGTAATATCTACCTCAAATGCATCATAAGTTAGGTAAACTATTTTTGTTATAACATCAGTCAGGATTAGAAATAACCATACTGACCTCAGTGACATTAATTTTATGGGTCTAATTTGCTTAATCTTTCCAAATGCTTACTTTGTCCCTTTCACTGTTTTTGAGCAAACCCCGCAATGCCACTCCTGAAATATTACACTGCTGAAATACCCAATGTTGAAATGGCATTGCTCAAATGTACAATACCACATCAAACTATAAGTTGTGATAAAATCTCTACCACTTGTAAGTGCATGTAATGCATGTTGTGAGCATGTTGTGTCGTAGATTTTATGCCACTTGAATGTATGTATTGTCGATTAATAAGTGTCTTGTATGCTCTCCACCATACCCCTCTAGCCCATTCCACCCTACCCCTACTAACTTGAATTATCTATTTTAGTGCCTTGTACAGTTGGTTCAAAGGCATTTTTGGGAAGACTTATTTAAACAATATTGCTGTTCTCAAAAATGTTTAAATACTGAATTAATCATACTTCTACGTACAGTATATATTTATGTAGGTGTAATTCATGCAAATTAGGTTCTACATTAAAAAATATGGGTCTTTATCTAAATTATTTTGATTTATTTATTGATTCACCTTACAAAAATCAACTAACAGCAGTTTGTTTTAACTGAGCCTTCCCAAATCATCCAATAATATTGATCCAACTTTGGAGGATAACCAGTATCATATCCAGCCACAGGAGCCCAATGATGACTTCAGAAATGATGATGAATTAGTTCAATATGACACAGATCTGGAAATAACAGTATGTACCATGTATATGTTGTGAATTGTAGCTACTGGAGGAACCGGGCAGTGATACCAGTAAATTTGAGCAGATAGTTCCCACCATTGTGAAACCGTGCACAAGAGATACATACTATAGTGACGACCGTAACCAAACTGCAGAGACAGTTATTGGGGTATAAATAATAAAACATTGGGCTATTACTGCTATTCATGATTATGATCACAGCCATTAATTTGTTCTTTTAATACACACTTGAATTATATCTTTGGTTGGGATCATAACCGTGTAATAGAGTGTTTGGATATCTGTGCCAGCATGAACTTTGGGGCCTTTTACAAATTGGTGCCATTTTCTTTCAAAATTTCTTGGAATTTGAATCTATCACTGTCGTGTGGCTATTATTCAGTCATATTAGGTATAGTACACATGGTCTTGAAATTTGCAACTGTCTTGTAAATGCATTAGAATTTATGCTGGCATAGGTAGAGTACAATACTTGAATAACCATGTACTATTTTGAAGCATCATGCAAGACAAAACTAACTTCACGCATGAAAGCCACCATCCAAAACAAAATCAAAATCAAGCATGAAAATAATTCCTTTCTTGATATTACTAATGAAGCATAACTGGAGAGTGTACCATTGAAACATTGTGAATAATTATGATAGTTCAGATTGTCTTTTGTGATGTCTCGATCGTGTGGTAAATTGAAAAATTGCATATTTTAATTGGAGATGATTAGAGTTCAGAAATCTTTGTCGCCTTTTTAAGAAAGGGCATATATATACATGTACTGTTATTATATGGAGCCCATATTTTAATTTTTCAAGAGAAACACATTATAAAAGATATCAAATTCAAAATGTTAGTAAATTCTAGTTAAATAAATCATGAATTAAGCAATAAATTTTTGTTTTTAACAAATATTGAAAGAAAATATTGTAAGAAGCAATATCCAGACTTGAAGTTTTATATCTAGATCAAAAGTAATATGACACATTAATAATGTCTTTACTGCATGTCAGGTATAGGTCTGTACTCTTCACTGATGGTACTCAACTACAGTATTGTATATATATAGTATATAAAACTAAACAACATTAATGATTTGTTCAACTTTTCAGACTCAAATGGAGGTGGGAATTGTCCGCCAGTTCACATTTTCCTCTGCCCTCCAGAGAATGAGTGTCATCACCCGAACATTGGGGAGAGCTAACATGGAGATATACTGTAAAGGGGCCCCAGAGAAAATTGCCAACATGTGCAGGAAAGATTCAAGTAAGATGAAGCTTTGAAGTTTCAGAAATTTTGTAATCTGTTTGACAAAGTTGATTAAGAATAGATCCCTCACTTAGCTTTCAATGACTCATTTTTCGACACTGTTTTGTTACAGACCATTTGTCCACAAAAAAGTTGGAGACTATAACAATATGTCATCACTTGTGGAGGTGACATAAAGATTTAGTGAAAGGGTTATTTATATTTTCCCAACCATAATGAAATTCACTGAATATTAACTTAATAACTTTCCACAGCTGTCAATATTTGAATACCATCCCTTATATTAGATGTATTACTATACATCCATAAACATTGTGCTTGTAGTACCTGAGGATTTCCAGCAAACTCTACACAGGTACACCATGCAGGGTTTCAGGGTGATAGCCCTGGCCTGGAAACCATTAGACCCTAAACTAACATGGCACCAGTCACAAAGAATATCAAGGTAATATGCCTGGATTAATTAATTTCAGATGAAATTGAATAGAACATTTTATAGCACTTTTTCTGTCTGTATGGGTGGGCTGATGGGCACCACATAAATCTAGCCACCGATATTCCAGGAAAACTGATTACCCTTTCAACATGAAATTTTTACAGATACAAGAGCAGACTAGAGCCAAGACCTGATTAGGTTTTGGGCAAGCTGAATGTATCAATAATAAAAAGTTTGATATTCATAACTGTGTGACTTGTTTATCAACCACCATTGTCCATTGTATTGTATGAAGCATCTGGCTCGTATAACTCTCATATGTTATTGTCCATTGTATCTGGCTCAACTGGCTCATATGACTCTCATATGTTATTGTTCTGTTACAGGGATAAGGTTGAAGTGGACCTCTTATTTCTGGGTTTGATAATCATGCAGAACACACTGAAGCCTGAGACGACACCAGTCATCAACCAGTTGAATGATGCAAATATCAGGACTGTCATGGTCACAGGTAAAAGGCTGATGATAGTGTAATTTAGTCCAGTCCCATACCTAATTAAAGCAAACCAACAAAATCTTGCTCTTACAAATTTACCAAACGACTCTGGTATTAAAGCCTGTGACATTGTTATATAAAAGTATTTTTACCTCGGAAAAAAGTGGACAATAGACATTGTGAATGTCATATTCCAGGTGACAATATGCTGACTGCAGTGAGTGTGGCTAGGGACTGTGGTATGGTACCTCCAGGTGACAAAGTGGTGCTGGTGGACGCCTACCCTTCAGACTCTGGTAAACCTGCCAGGATAGAGTGGAACTACACTGAGCCCATAGACCAGGAAGAAGAGGAGGCTAGTGCAACACATATTTCACAGTCTACATACAAGGTAAAGCTCTATACTGTTTTGCTTTATATGTCTTGTATATTGTGTTTTATTTTATCGCGCGTAAGATGGAAACCTTGATCATTATTTACATTGGCTCACATGGTAAGCTAATGGAATCACTGTCTCGTCCATCTTAGGTCCATCATTCCTTACATCTATCCATCATCATTAAGATGAATGCAAACTTCATATGAAGTTTCATTCATCTTAATTTAATCTTGATGCTTGTCTATTTTATGGTCCTGGCTCATACTACATCTACACATCTTCATCATTTATAGAGTTCCCAAATCAGACAATGTTATGTTACATTTCATGCTGAGAAGTATTGGTGTCCGTTAACCTTCACTTTTCTCAAGGAATTATGAAATTTTCACAGAAATTAATTTTAGCCTTTTCGAAAAGTTATTCATACAATGTTGTTTATTATCTGGGTTAAACCTAACCATGATATATTCATCATTTGACCTATTTTTGCAATTTTTACTAACTAACTTTTGCAACTTAAATTATTTTTAAAAAAGTGAGTCGTTATAATGTGAGACCACTGAATGGTGCCATTCATGGTGAATTGATGTTGAAATTTTCTTTCAGAATAATTATCAGTCCATTGACATGAGTGACCCTAGCTCTCAGAATTTCCACTTTGCTATAACTGGCAAATCATTTGCAGTTGTGAGGAACAGCTTTCCCAAGTTAATGGACAGGGTAAGCATGCATATATACTGTAAAACGTTTATTGAAAAAAATACAACGGTTTTCAGGATATTATTATATATCATCATGGGCGTAGCACTATTTTTTTCTAAGTAGTATGCCACCATGGCACACAGGAACAAGAGTTGAGCAAAGCAAAAAATGAGCGTTCATGGGGTCTGGGGGGTTCTCCCCTTGGAAAAATTTGAAATTTGATTGTATTTGGAGCGTATTTGCAACCATCTGGTACGCCTGTGCGTACCCACCATAACGGGCGCCACACCCATGATCATACTTGAAGAATATAAGGATCACAATATACAGAAGTTTCATAATAGTGCAATTAGCAGTTGGCAAGGAACCTATTTTTACCTTATGTCTTATCTTGATATATCCCCAACTAATTTTCATAAAAAAGATATGTGATTCCCCCGAGACCAAACAATTGATAGTGTAGCCATATGGACTTCTCTTATGATTGCAGTTATGTCTTAAAGGAACTGTGTTTGCTCGTATGTCCCCTGATCAAAAGAGTCAGCTGGTGGAACACCTACAGGATATGAGCTACATTGTAGGCATGTGTGGAGATGGAGCTAACGACTGTGGGGTAAGCAAAACAGCAAACTTCTAGAAATCAAAATAAATTATCTCTGATTAATGCATTTCTTTTACACATGTAGGCCTTGTTAAGAAATATTTCATTTGAATTGGAAATATCAAACTGACAGAAATGTGCTTCCAAAATATTTTTTCACAAGTCATAATCATAAACATTAAACCATGCATCCTAATTTTCATTACATTGTATGCAAAACCTTCAGAGTTACTAGTTTAGTAGTACTATGGATAAGAATGACACATATTATTACAATAGATAACTTCTCTTCATTACAGGCATTAAAAGCTGCCCATGCTGGAATCTCTCTCTCTGAAGCTGAAGCATCAGTAGCCTCGCCATTTACCTCCAACCAGAACAACATTGAGTGTGTGCCGACTGTGATCAGGGAGGGAAGGGCAGCCTTGGTTACCTCATTTGGTGTATTCAAGTACATGGCCTTGTATTGTATGGTTCAGTTTGTATCCGTCCTCATGTTATACTCAGTAAGTGAGAATAAATCTGTTTAATCCTGAGGAGGTATTCAGTCATAGTTTGCAGTCGAGTTTGTGGTTTCCTCTTCTGCACACCAATTTTGTTTCGTGCAATTTTTCCATTGTCTATTTTTATAGTACCAAACATCAATGTGACCCAATATATAATAGTCCAAGATAGTAGTGTAGTGTCATGATACAAATCCCTTAAAGTAAATGTAATGTAAAAAAAGGCTATGAAATAAATATGGGTAATATAATAGTTGGTATTATATATTTATAACATATATTAAATATTTTGAATTATTGGAAGATCAATTGTAATGAACATTATTTTTTGTTTATTTTCAGAAACAAAGTAATTTAGGTGATCTCCAGTTTCTTTACATTGATCTGGTCATCACAACAACAGTTGCAATCCTTAGTAAGAGATTACTTTACAATATAATTTTTTAGTACGGACAGTTATGAAGACACACATTCTGAAGAATTTGTCTCATTATGACTTGTCCAGTGTACTATAGATTATTCTTTGATCTGATGTCTAACTCTAAGTAAGAGATTACTTTACAACATACATGTATATACTTTAGTACCCTTGACAGGTTAGATGAAGACACATATCCTGGAGAATTTGTCTCATTATGACCTGTCCAGAGTGCTATAGGTCATTCTTTGAACTGATGTCTTGCTAGATATTTTAATTCTTGGCTGCCAAAAATACCACATTTAACTGGTAACACTATTTAATTTAATTTGACTGATGTGAGAGCATATATCATTATATTCATACAGATGTGTGCAGCAACACACCAACTTGAAAAGAATCTTGGAAAAGAAGTTTGTTCGGAACATTGAGTGAAATTTTATTCCAAGAGAAAATTGTTAATTGACATGCATGTAATAGTGTTTGATTTTAATGTTATTTGTCTCAAAACTTTCCGATTTTGACTAGTTTTGTCTCCAATAGTTGCATAAATAACTAGCCAAAGCATTGATAAAACAGCAAAATGTAAGGAAACCATTTAATAGTCAATTTTGTTTACATTATAGTGGGCCATACAGGGGCTTACAGCCACATTGTACGAAAGCAGCCTCCAGGAAGTCTCATGAAGGCGAACAATTTATTCTCAATTTGCATGCACGTCATAGCAACAGCTGCCTTCCAGGCTGGCGTCTACTTCTATCTTGCATCACAGCCTTGGTAGGTCATCATTACTTACATCTATCAATAAGCATAAACAAGATAAACAAACATATTAACAAGATAACATAGATACACAAGGTACATATGTAACCAACTGGAAAATGTAACAATTGTTACTCTTAATTTCAACTGAACATCAAACGCCAGTTTATGTCAGAATGCCAGTTTCAAACAAGAACACAAATGTGTACAAAATGTCCCCACCAATGGGTGTTTCCGTCAAATGGTTATCCTGAAAATGAGTAGACAAGACTTTACCAACACAATTTAAGGACGTAAAATCCAAATGGCCACCTCAAAATTTACCCAGAATGCCAAAAATTTAGTCAGTTCTAGATTTTCATACTAAGAACCACCCCTTAAAATTTGAAATTGATCCGTCACACAGTTAACCAGAAAACATGTAAACAAGAGTTTATAGACAAGATTTTAGGACAGAAAATCCAAAATGGCTGCCTTGACATTTACGCAGAATGCCAAAAAACTAATCAGTTGTAGATTTTCATACTAAGAATCATCCCTGAAATTGATCTACCAAACGGTTCACCAGAAAACGCGTAGACAAGATTTTTAGACGGAAAATCTAAAATGGCTGCCTTGACATTTATCCAGAATGACAAAAAACTAATCAGATCTAGATTTTCATACTAAGAATCATCCCTGAAAATTTGAAATTGATCTACAGACCGGTTCACCTGGAAATGCGTATACAAGACTTTACAGACAAGACTTTAGGACAGAAAATCCAAAATGGCTGCCTTGACATTTACCAAGAATGCCAAAAAACTAATCAATTCTAGATTTTCATACTAAGAATCATCCCTGAAAATTTGAAATTGATCTACCAAACGGTTCACCTGAAAACGCATAGACAAGACTTTACAGACAAGATTTTAGGATGGAAAATCCAAAATGGCTGCCTTGACATTTACCCAGAATGCCAAAAAACTAATCAGATCTAGATTTTTTTACTAAGAATCAAAAATCAAATCAAAAGTGATTATGAGTTTTTGCTGATTTCTTTTTACAAAATTATCACATTGTTAACAATATCATAGGCTTTTACAACAAAGTACATCTGAAATTATTTATAAAGCTACTAAATAGTAAAGTATGAAAACTCAACAACACCATTCAATATGATACAAAGTATTATCGCGAGCTAACTTTTCTTAAGACATTCAAAATGGCTGACATGACAGAGCTAACAGATCCAAAACCTAATCAGATGTTGAATGAAGTGAGCTGAACAAGATGTTAACGTTTTAAAAGCAACTGTGAAGCCATTTTTCTTAAAGTTTACAGACAAGGATTTTAGCATTTGACTTCAAATTGGCCGACAGGAAGTAGGTATCGAGTCAAATCCCTGAAAATTTAAAGATGATATCTGTAGCGGTTTTGGAGAAAACTCCCGGATATACGGGCGTACTAACATATGATATCTTATGTGTCACTGTACTTCCGTGTCTTATTTTTGTGTGTTTATTTAGCCTTATGTGTTTCAAAATTTCTCTGTGTGTCTATGAAATCTCCTTGCGTGTCTGCATGGACATGTTTCTCACGGATGATACCTTATGTGTTACAGTACTTCTGTGTCTTTATTTTTGTGTGTCTATTTAGCCTTGTGTGTATCTAAGCTCTCTTTTGTGCATATGAAGCACCCTTGTGTGTTTCCATGGGTATTTTTCTAAAGAAAGCAGCCTAAGTGACTTGTGTCCAAGCTTTATACCTTTATAGCAACTTTCAAAGACACAGAAACATTTAAGAAGAAGTTTATTCAAAATATACTGTAAGGAGAAGTAGAAAATATTGTATAAAAAGGGTAATTGTAATCTGGTTTCTTGATCATGCAGTTTATCATCAAATACTCGTTATTTTTATTTTCTAGATCATGCAGTTTATCATCAAATTATCTTATTTTCCAATATTTAGGTTTGTACACAATGTTCCAAAGCCAGGAGATGAGCATTCTATTGTGACATACGAGACCACAGTCATATTCTGCTATTCTTCATACCAGTACCTCATGCTGGCGTTCATCTTCTCAAAGGGTCCTCCTTATAGAAAACATATCTGGACAAACAGTAAGTATCTGATCTTAATATATGCCCATAGTTAGCTTCCCTCAGAGAAGGGATTGCTTGTTTTTCAGAAGGGCTCTAATTTTTCAGGGTTGCAATTGGAAAATGTTACTTAATTTTGATTTAAAATGCCAAATTTGACCAAATTCAATCGATTTTTGACAATTTGACTTAATTCTCAGAAACCATATTGTTCAAGAAAATAAGTCAACATTTTCCTGATTGGGGAGCCCCCTGGCTACAGTAATGTCTCATTATGTATTTTAGAGCCATTTTGTGTGATTTCACATGTTCATCAACAATTTTGGTTAGTTGGTATCTGGAGTATAAACGGCTGTTTGTGACCTTGAAATTGCAAAAATCACTTTTAAGAATTAAAACGGTGTTCATTCATTCATATTCCTAGAAGTTTGAGATGATACCTTGTACCTCACATTCTGAAACATTTCACTTATAGAACCACTTGATGTAGGGAAGTAGTAAAAAAGATGATATCAATACCATAAACCCTTATGTTTTATTAATTTTTACACTCAAGAATTTTAGGTGTCTTGACCTGAATAGACAGTAAATGTCCTGTACGAGGGTTCTCCCAGAAGTAATACACTATATGCTCTAACTTTCTTTAATATTCTTCTATTCAGCTGAAATGTTGTGTATATAACTATTGAAGTTTTATCTATTATATCCTGAAGTTTCAGCATCAAGCATTAATATTAAGTCTTAATATGGTTGCTATAGCACATATAACATGTATAAGGACGATCCAAAAGATTTTGCTTTATTTTAAATACTCTTGAAGTTAGCAATAAATGAGTTGCCTAGTAAACCATTGTACCATTGTTATGTTCCAGTTCCATTTCTGCTTGCCATCCTGTTCCTGACAGGCTTCAACACAATGCTCTTACTCCATCCATTTGCTCCTATTGAAAATATACTACAGGTATGGGTAGATAGTTTTTATGATAATCATCAGAAAAAATTAAATTTAGAATTAATGTTAAAATTAAGTGTAACGACCCATCAGCTTGTCTACTCTTTCCAATGGTTTATATCTGGTCTGATGTGCCGTTACTGAACCTTCTTATTGCATTGCTTTATTCAAAATAACTAACAAGTTCACTGTTCACCAGTATGGAGTTTTACTGTATTATATATGCCCTGTATTTGCATGTATTCTGTGGCCAGCGCCTACATAGCGCCAATGCTAGTTTTGTTTACAGTTGATGCAGAGTGCATCTGTACTTTGCTTTCTTAGCCTATAGTGACTGGGTATCCCCTTGTGAATTGTATGTTAACTTTTGTAAGAGTCATCATGAGTCATAGGCTGTGTAGCCTGTCCACTACTTCAGTGTCTGCAGTTACTCAGCTTAAGGATATAGTTCCCTTGTTTATTTTGCCTTATTGTGATTACTTTGACTTATGTATGTTATTTAGTATGTTTATTCTATTGTATGCATGTTTACATATATGTACATAACTTTAGTTTGTCTTATTTTGAACTGTGATTCATCTTGTCATGTGATTTGGCGTAAGGATTTTATGCACTACTTGTCTTTTGGAATTTTCTCAATCATGGCGGACCAGTTTGTGTTTTCTCCTCATTTTCTTGGATTTATAGCAGTTTGCGTTGGTGAATCGTGGTGCATTGTGGTTCAAGGTAATTATAATGATATATTTTAATTGTTCTATGAGTTTGAATGGAATTGTTTTAGTAATTGACCAGTAATTGAGATGTGAACTTTTGAAGTGATTTCCATGTGTTTTCATGTAATTTCGTCTTGATTTCTCATCAAATTATCTATGTTATCAACGTAATTAGCAAGGTTTCATTATTTAAAGTATACTGAAATTACCAGTGAACGTAAAATATGACCTTTTTAATGAAAGATAGGGGCTATCTGTTGTTTTGGATATGGGAACAGCCTGTTCTAGCTTGAGTGAGTCATCATCTAGCTCCTATTAGCAAAGCTCTCCTTCTAGCCTGTTACAGCACTTTACTGTGATTTAAGTGTTTGATTGGTCTTGGTGTATTTCAATTGTGTATGTAACTTATATAAACTTACTTGTACTAATTATATGTGATTATTTTATAATTCTTGAAATAGATTAGATAATTTTAAACTTGTTGTTTTGTTTATCTTTAAGGAATTTGGTGAGATATGTTTATTCCCCCTCCCACTTACATTTGACTTCCATTGACATGACATGGTACACATGACTTCTAGCCAGTTCCAGTTCCCTATGTCAACTGCAAGTGCAACACGCCCCCCCCCCCCATTCTAGTCACGTGTTACCCATAGCTAGAAGTGGCTGAAACCCTTATACACCCTTGGTACCTGTAGCTAGAAGTGGCTGGAACCCTTATACTTCCTTGGTACCCGTAGCTAGAAGTGGCTGGAACCCATATACATCCTTGGTTCTCATGGCTAGAAGTGGCTAGAACCCTTATACATCCTTGGTACCCTTAGCTAGAAGTGGCTAGAACCCTTATACATACTCGGTACATGTAGCTAGAAGTGGCTAGAAGCCTTATACATCCTCAGTACCCGTAGCTAGAAGTGGCTAGAACCCTTATACATCCTTGATACCCATAGCTAGAAGTGGCTAGAACCCTTATATTTCCTTGGTACCCATAGTTAGAAGTGGCTAGAACCCTTAAACTTCCTTGATACCCATAGCTAGAAGTGGCTAGAACCCTTATACATCCCAGGTTACCCTTGCTAGAAGTGGCTAGAACCCTTATACATCCCAGGTAACCGTAGCTAGAAGTGGCTAGAACCCTTATACATCCTTGGTACCCTTAGCTAGAAGTGGCTAGAACCCTTATACATCCTCGGTACATGTAGCTAGAAGTGGCTAGAACCCTTATACATCCTCAGTACCCGTAGCTAGAAGTGGCTAGAACCCTTATACATCCTTGGTACCCGTAGCTAGAAGTGGCTAGAACCCTTATACATCCTTGATACCCATAGCTAGAAGTGGCTAGAACCCTTATATTTCCTTGGTACCCATAGCTAGAAGTGGCTAGAACCCTTAAACTTCCTTGGTACCCATAGCTATAAGTGGCTAGAACCCTTATACATCCCAGGTTGCCCTTGCTAGAAGTGGCTAGAACCCTTATACATCCCAGGTAACCGTTGCTAGAAGTGGCTAGAACCACTATTCACCCTGGATACCATTGCTAGAAGTGGCTAGAACCCCCAGCTTATTAATATAAACGCCATGAGTCCCATTTATAACGTGTAGCCAGACAGTTGACACATTTATTACTGATTGACTATGAGACTTATGACAGACTGAGTAAGGACTTATAAACCCATATGCAATTGTCTTATTATTCAATTGTTACTGTTTAAGTGATACTACTTTGGAACAAGATAACAGTCTGGGACTGTGTAATGCCAAGGCTACGCTACACTTGTATGGCAAATACATGGCCCACGATTGTTACACTGGTGGCAGCGTCGGGATTTAATTATTACCTAATAATTAGACCCACTTTATTTTTTAAAGAAATATTTCAAAGTAGCATTGTTTTCAATTGTTTAGTGATGTCAATGTTTTGTTTGATGCTAATTTTAATCTTGTTTTTCACACTGGTACGTGTGGATTGCCATTTTGAGAGTTCCAAAGACCCGGTCCTTGTAGCATTCCACTGGACTGTATCGTTTTAGGTTGGTGAAGTAGACCGTTACTCTACTTCAAAGTGTGAAGTGGTACTTATGTTGCCCTGCATTAGAACCACTGACCCTCTGGTTTGGTGTGTAGGTGGGACCTAACATACAAACATATCAAACCTTCCCGAGCCAAAATTGTTGATCCCAGTTGTAAAACCCTGCCTGACCATGACCCGATGAAACATCTAGCCGTGTCTAGAAAGCACATTCATTATGCATGTGTTGGCGTGGATGTCCCCCATACCCTGTTCCCGTCCTGTTAGTGAGTTTCTTTCGATAATGGTCATGATGGTCATGATTATGATGTGAGAGATAGCTTGGGTAGGCATACCCATACAGTTACCCGAATATGCCCCTCCCCCTTACATTCCATTTGCCCGAAATGTGTGTGATGGTAAGATCCTCTTGTGCTTTCCTGGTTGATGAGGAAACGTTGTGCTATATCTCCCTACGACTTGAGATCTCCATAGCCATATCAGAACGTCTGGTATACCTTTTCTATTGCCTACTCCAACAATAGATCCCCTGCATTTGTCTGTCTGACTAGTATAGAGCCATTGGCTTGGGTAGGGTGGTCCAGGAAACCCCTGCCCAGTGATCCTACTTCCAAAGAGTCCCTACATTTCTGAATGTTCTTGTCCCATATCGTATATATGTGACTAGGAAAGTTGTCTATTGGGAAATAGTCATTATATGACTGATAATGGGAGTAGCGATAATGGAATGTCCGAAGGCTGACCGAATTGGTCTGATCAAGTCCAGAGTGCAAACCTATGCAACTTCGTGGAAGTAGGTCACCATGCATATTACCATCTTATGTGTCAATGGTGGTCCCTTTCCAAGTAGTGATTGGGACCTGTTATCTGTACAGTCCGATAGATATTGGAGCTACTGCCTCTAATCTTGGTAAGCCGTATTGCCAAGATGTTTTACCAATATGTTTATAGCGAACTGTCAGCGGAAGTGAGCATGTCCGGCCGTACCTTTTGCTGGCATCAGTCAGCTTTTGTTCCAAGGAGGGCTGATTGTTACAAGTTCCCTATGTGGAGAGTAATCGTTCAACAACCCATGTACCATCTGATGTGGCTGACATTTACCGTATGTGTATATGGCATTTGCTACGAGAGCAAATGTTGTTTACTATGCGTGTACCTGTATCCTTGGCAACCTATTTTTCCTGAGAAGCCACGGGGTTGTTGAGTTTCTTAAGAGTGGAACCCTAATGATAGATGGTTTGAGTGGCCTGTGCTACTTGTTGTCCCTACTATCTCTGATTGCCAATATCCGGTAGATATTGACAAATTATGAATAAAGCTTCCATTAGCGTCCCCCCCCTTTAGTGATGTTGTTGCCTCCACACGGGCAGATTGTCCCATGAATCCACAGAGTTGCTAACTGAACCATCAGATTGCATCTCTTCCAATGATGGCATGGTGAAGTGTACAGTCACTTGTGCCTCATTGATTCATCCTTTCCATTATTGATTACCAACTAAAGTAATGTGAAACGACTGTCTACCCAAACCGTTACCTTGTTGCCCTAGTAGATGACCTAGGCTCAACCGTTACACAATTGGAGTAATTGTGAACGTAATGTTTGAGGCAGAGTTCCCTTGTACATAGTGTATATAATTGTGATGGTGCCGAAAACTGTCAGTAAAACAGTGCACCAACTGTGAAATGTTATCTCCATCCCTCAATGGTCCCTAAATGCCTAACTTCCAGCAATGTCACCCAGCTGTAGCCTATTTTATCTTGTCCCACAGTCTTAAAGTAGGTGGACATTGAATATGTGTGTGGTTACCATGGTTGAAGAGCCTATGAGCTATTATAGATATGAACGTCTATGTAGTGTGTCTCATACAAGAGAATTATTCGTTGGCTGACGATGGGAGGAAGTTGTAGCTTTTGTAGATTGGAATATCTGCATGGCAGTGATACGAGAGTGGAGTTTCTCTTCCAGGTTTAGAGATGTCAACCACAAGCCAACAACATAGAGAGACATTGACGTGAACATTCTGTAACCATACACATAGGATTATAGGAGAATTGTACAGCATATCTTATCTTCATACTGTATTTGACGTGCTATATATGAACTTATGACTCTCCCTGTTATACAGAGAAGCAATATGATGCAGGAATATCTAGACACATTACCGTGTCAACACTTACAATAACTTTTGATTATGCAGTGTTCTGGATACGACTAGTGCCAACTAAACATTCATTAGAATTCTACGAACGCTATCTTAATTACTATAACTACAAAATATATGTGCAATTTGAACTCTTGATTTTTATGAAAATCTTTGAACCAAATGGATATTGTAATGACATGTTTTTCAGGTGATGCAAGTCATAAGTGTATAACCTTGTAAACTACTGTATTATCATGTCACTTTTGGATCATGTATCATCTTTGATTTAAATACTTTTGTGTATTATTGATTGTGTTTTGATTTGTAACTTGTGTGTAAAAGTTCGGGACGAACTTATTTTAAAGAAGGGGGGCAGTGTAACGACCCATCAGCTTGTCTACTCTTTCCAATGGTTTATATCTGGTCTGATGTGCCGTTACTGAACCTTCTTATTGCATTGCTTTATTCAAAATAACTAACAAGTTCACTGTTCACCAGTATGGAGTTTTACTGTATTATATATGCCCTGTATTTGCATGTATTCTGTGGCCAGCGCCTAAATAGCGCCAATGCTAGTTTTGTTTACAGTTGATGCAGAGTGCATCTGTACTTTGCTTTCTAAGCCTATAGTGACTGGGTATCCCCTTGTGAATTGTATGTTAACTTTTGTAAGAGTCATCATGAGTCATAGGCTGTGTAGCCTGTCCACTACTTCAGTGTCTGCAGTTACTCAGCTTAAGGATATAGTTCCCTTGTTTATTTTGCCTTATTGTGATTACTTTGACTTATGTATGTTATTTAGTATGTTTATTCTATTGTATGCATGTTTACATATATGTACATAACTTTAGTTTGTCTTATTTTGAACTGTGATTCATCTTGTCATGTGATTTGGCGTAAGGATTTTATGCACTACTTGTCTTTTGGAATTTTCTCAATCATGGCGGACCAGTTTGTGTTTTCTCCTCATTTTCTTGGATTTATAGCAGTTTGCGTTGGTGAATCGTGGTGCATTGTGGTTCAAGGTAATTATAATGATATATTTTAATTGTTCTATGAGTTTGAATGGAATTGTTTTAGTAATTGACCAGTAATTGAGATGTGAACTTTTGAAGTGATTTCCATGTGTTTTCATGTAATTTCGTCTTGATTTCTCATCAAATTATCTATGTTATCAACGTAATTAGCAAGGTTTCATTATTTAAAGTATACTGAAATTACCAGTGAACGTAAAATATGACCTTTTTAATGAAAGATAGGGGCTATCTGTTGTTTTGGATATGGGAACAGCCTGTTCTAGCTTGAGTGAGTCATCATCTAGCTCCTATTAGCAAAGCTCTCCTTCTAGCCTGTTACAGCACTTTACTGTGATTTAAGTGTTTGATTGGTCTTGGTGTATTTCAATTGTGTATGTAACTTATATAAACTTACTTGTACTAATTATATGTGATTATTTTATAATTCTTGAAATAGATTAGATAATTTTAAACTTGTTGTTTTGTTTATCTTTAAGGAATTTGGTGAGATATGTTTATTCCCCCTCCCACTTACATTTGACTTCCATTGACATGACATGGTACACATGACTTCTAGCCAGTTCCAGTTCCCTATGTCAACTGCAAGTGTAACACGCCCCCCCCCCATTCTAGTCACGTGTTACCCATAGCTAGAAGTGGCTGAAACCCTTATACACCCTTGGTACCTGTAGCTAGAAGTGGCTGGAACCCTTATACTTCCTTGGTACCCGTAGCTAGAAGTGGCTGGAACCCATATACATCCTTGGTTCTCATGGCTAGAAGTGGCTAGAACCCTTATACATCCTTGGTACCCTTAGCTAGAAGTGGCTAGAACCCTTATACATACTCGGTACATGTAGCTAGAAGTGGCTAGAAGCCTTATACATCCTCAGTACCCGTAGCTAGAAGTGGCTAGAACCCTTATACATCCTTGATACCCGTAGCTAGAAGTGGCTAGAACCCTTATATTTCCTTGGTACCCATAGTTAGAAGTGGCTAGAACCCTTAAACTTCCTTGATACCCATAGCTAGAAGTGGCTAGAACCCTTATACATCCCAGGTTACCCTTGCTAGAAGTGGCTAGAACCCTTATACATCCCAGGTAACCGTAGCTAGAAGTGGCTAGAACCCTTATACATCCTTGGTACCCTTAGCTAGAAGTGGCTAGAACCCTTATACATCCTCGGTACATGTAGCTAGAAGTGGCTAGAACCCTTATACATCCTCAGTACCCGTAGCTAGAAGTGGCTAGAACCCTTATACATCCTTGGTACCCGTAGCTAGAAGTGGCTAGAACCCTTATACATCCTTGATACCCATAGCTAGAAGTGGCTAGAACCCTTATATTTCCTTGGTACCCATAGCTAGAAGTGGCTAGAACCCTTAAACTTCCTTGGTACCCATAGCTAGAAGTGGCTAGAACCCTTATACATCCCAGGTAACCGTTGCTAGAAGTGGCTAGAACCACTATTCACCCTGGATACCATTGCTAGAAGTGGCTAGAACCCCCAGCTTATTAATATAAACGCCATGAGTCCCATTTATAACGTGTAGCCAGACAGTTGACACATTTATTACTGATTGACTATGAGACTTATGACAGACTGAGTAAGGACTTATAAACCCATATGCAATTGTCTTATTATTCAATTGTTACTGTTTAAGTGATACTACTTTGGAACAAGATAACAGTCTGGGACTGTGTAATGCCAAGGCTACGCTACACTTGTATGGCAAATACATGGCCCACGATTGTTACATAAGTTTTACTATGTTGATAAATGTTGAAAAGATGTGTTGTCCATAGAGAGCACAATAGAAATAATCAGTACCAATCTGAATTGGTAATTGGTAATTCATTAATTATACAGATTTGAATTTGTTACGTCAACAGAAATAGGTCCAGTAAACTATAATTTGGTATATAATAGTATGATAATCGACTCTCTTGTGTTCTACTTTTCCAGATGAAGCACATCCCTTACTTCTTCTTCAAGCTCACTGTTCTGGGTTTAGTGCTATGTAATTTCCTGGTAGGATTCATACTAGAGGTAATGCTATACAAAACAATTAATATATTGTTTTAAATTCATGAAATAATGTGAGTTTATGATATGCTTATGATATATAGGTAATAAAATTAAAGATATGTGAAAGTAATTGACTTAAATAAGGTAATGTTGTAAGACAATTGGATCTTCCGTCATCACTGTATTTAAGTTCACACATATAAATCCCATACTCTTACTTTAGGCCATTTCAAAATATGTTCAATATAGCACTGATTTGTCGAGTTCAAAAAGCCAAAGAAATTATTTTTTACAAGAATAACATTTGTTTGTTTATTTCAAAATCACACAAGAAAAATTTACAGAAATGGGTGAGACTTTTATCAAGTGTAGATTCCCATTAAGAAAAATATCACAATTGTGCAAAGCTAGTCAAATCATTGATGCAGATTTTTCCTCGACTATTTTATTTTATACCAGAATGATTTTGTGATATGTATTATTTCATTTATATTTTCAGGCCTTTTTACTGGACAGTGCAATATTAACTAAACTGTGTAACAGTATTAAGAGGAAAAAACACCCAAAAAACAAATATAAAAGAATTGAGCAAGAAATGAGAATGGATCCTGATTGGCCACCAGTTGGTCAGGTGACTTTTGAAGAACCAATCCCTGGTGGACAAGTTAACAATGCAATTTCAGATATACTTCCAGGAGACATTGTATCAAATGACCCATACATCAATAGCTAGCACATGTAGGGGAACAATACATTGAACAACACATGTATAGAGAATAATGCTAGAAGTGTATGTAAAGATGCAGCGATAAAATGCACATTGAATGCAATAGCTTTTACTTTTGCATAAATTAATATTCATATTTTTTTCTCAAAGGAATCTATATGATAACACCATATGAACTGAAAAAACATAAAACAGTAGGTCACTCAAGACTACTTTAAGGTAAAATGTAGTTCAAATGAAGTCTGACAAAAATATAGCCATATTAAGCCTTTGATTATATTACAGATCAGATATCTATCAAAACCTACAATATGAATTGAATATTACAATATGAATTGATTCATTTTAAAGAGGTGAATGTTGTATCTTATGTCAACACTAATAACTGTTGACATATTTTTATGGCTGCCGTTGTGTTGAAATTCAATGACAGCATTTAGCAGTCAACATGTGTAATATTGTTACAATTTAGTAACCATTTGGAATAACTTACTAGGTGTGAGATTTATCATGTTGATATCTTGTTTATATTTATTCAAAATTGTTATGGTCCACTCATTAATAGCTCAGTGGTAGAATGTGTACCAAGTACGCAAAGGTCCCGGATTCGATCCCCGGTTCAGGCACTTTACTTGTTGCATAAAATACATCAGGGTGTTTGACTGAGTGGTCTATGACTCGTAAAAGGCTGTGGTGTGTATTGGTGCATGTAAAAGTACACAGGGCTCCTTCAAGGAGGGGTTCCTGGGTCTGTCTTCCAGGATTACATGTATAAAAAATTATGACTATACATATGGGATATCCCCAAGAGGCATTGCTCAGCTTCACTGGGGTAAACAAAATACAATACAATATGGAAATATCAAGCTTATTTTCCTTTAGATAACAAACTATTGTATACATTAATGAATTGTGATATAAATTATGGGATAGCATGGACCAACCAGGAGGACCAGGACATGCTTTTATTTTTAGTGTCTGATTATCTGACAGAACTTGTTATAATTATTTTATATTAAATAAAAGGGGTAGTAATGTGTGAAGTAATATGTGATGTTATTTTTGTTTTCATAAATGGCCCCATTTGATGGGCTCACATGGTGATTCCTTATAATACTCAAAGCTGATGTTCTCCAAAACATGCAAAATGAGGCAGCATAAGACTTGATACCAACTGTGTGAATTACCATACAAGCCTATTTTTTTTGGAATTAGAATACATAGTTTGGTGATTCAGAACAAAGCTTGCACCTGTGTTGAGCTTTGTTTCATATGAAAGGAAATGTAAAACTAGCCAAGCAAATCAGGATTTTTTGAACATTGCCAGTTCTGCTTTTAATTCCCCTTACTTTAAACTCTAAATCTTGTTTTACCGAATGGATGAATTAAATAACATGACACAAGATACAATAATATAATATATAATTCTCATTTATTTTACAGAGCAAGCACCACATACATGCTAGTAATAATGTGACAGTACCAACTAGTTACAAAGTATGTTGATATGAGAGGTATCTCATGCCCCATGGCCTCCACTCTGTCAGTAAATTCCCCTAATATATAGGGAATGGGGTGGAACATGGACACAGTTCCTGAATACATAAACAATAGCTTGCTGTCTAGGTCTTGTAGGCTTCTTCATATATATATTGCACATAGGTTAAAATTCTTTACTGCGAATCACTTCATCATACATGTATTAAGTATTAAAATCCATTGTGTTCATCATCATACTAAGTCACCAACCACAGATCTAGAGACACTCTTTAGTTTCTTCAGTGCCCTGTGCAGTGGGGCAAGATGTATGGCTGGCTGGCCAAGTCTGGTCTGGTAGGATTTCTCTGCCACTTTCAAGAGACTGTTCAGCAGGAACTCTGTGTTAACGAGTATAAATTGGTGCTGAAATCACAATGGATGAATCAATCAAAATTTCATTATTTTTTATAAATTACAATCATACATGGTAGGCTGCAAGAAAACCAGGAACATTATGCAGTGTAACAGTGATAAAGTGTAACAATGTCTAGACTATATTTTTTACTCTTTTATCATTTAGTATTGATAGCCATATGGCTGGGATATAGGGACTTAACTTAACTAGAACCTCTAGATATAACAAAATATTGAGACCATTTCTGGAAAAATTTCATGTATTGCAATTTATGGAATTCAATTGCCTGATTTCCATAATTATGATGTGGAATATACAGAGGAGCTATAGGAATGGTTCAGGACTAAGTAGTCTGTATACAGATTCAACTATGTACAAAAAGTTCTTTATACAGAAAAAATAGGGACTGTTTGTCTTTCCTATTCAAGAATTATAAATGATTTAAATTTTCAAACCTGAGTTAATATGAAAGGGAAGGGAATTATTTTCTAGAATAAGGATCATCTTCTAATAGCTCTTATATAAGAGGTCATTATAAGCAGGGAAGATGTGTAGCCTAATTTATCAATGGTAAATATATTGTGAATTGAAGCATTGGGGTTTATTGAAGCATTGGGGTTTATATTACATGGAAAGGTGCTAAAATATCGCATTTCCTAAAAAAATGTAACCATTATTATGGTCACATTGATAACTGTAAATAAGTATAGAAGCAATTTTAGAATATGTCCGTTACATTACAGATATTGATAAAATACTTATGATTTGAGGCAATGTTTTCCCCAGTTGATACCATATTGGAACAAGGCATTAACATGCAAAATGTCACCACCTGTCATTTGTTACAGATACCTTAATTTGTTATAGACACCATGTTAAAGACGCTGTGTTACAGACACCGAAAACCATCCACAAAAAGTTGGAGACTATAACAATATGTAGTGATAAAAAATGGTGCATCCTTTTAATGTAAAATGGGACAAGTGCATGTAGCAATATAGGGAGTAGTAACATACAATAATATGTACATAAGCCTTAAATAATATGGAATGGTCCAGGACTAAGTAGTCTGTATACAGATTCAACAATGTACAGAAAGTGCTTTATACAGTAAAATAGGGACTGTTTGTCTTTCCTATTCAAGAATTATAAATGATTTAAATTTTCAAACCTGAGTTAATATGAAAGGGAAGGGAATTATTTTCTAGAATAAGGATCATCTTCTAATAGCTCTTACATAAGAGGTTATATAAGCAGGGGAGATGTGTAGCCTAATTTATCAATGGTAAATATATTGTGAATTGAAGCATTGGGGTTTATTGAAGCATTGGGGCTATATTACATGGAAAGGTGCTTAAACATCTCATTTCCTAAAAAAAATTGATAACTGTAAATAATTATAGAAGCAATTTTAGAATATGTCCGTTACATTACAGATATTGAAAAAATACTAATGATTTGATGCCATGTTTTCCCCAGTTGAAACCATATTGGAACAAGGCATTAACATGCAAAATGTCACCACCTGCCATTTGTTACAGATGCCTTAATTTGTTATAGACACCATGTTAAAGAGGCTGTGTTACAGACACCGAACACCATCCACAAAAAAGTGGGAGACTATAACAATATGTCACCACTTCTGGTAGTGATAAAAAAAATGGTGCATCCTTTAAATGTAAAATGGGACAAGTGCATGTAGCAATATAGGGAGTTAGTAACACATACAGTAATATGTACATAAGCCTTAAATAATATGGATGTGCTTGCTTATAAAGGGTTATAAAACTGTTTATTACAAAGCTCCAAAGAAGTTGGTTTCTTTCTGAAAATTCTCATCAGCAAGTGGCAACAAAGTTTCAGATAAAAATATCTCATTTTTCCTTATGAATTCTTCCTGCAATAAAACAAATGCATGCAGTTAGTGTAGTAGTGGAACAATGAGAGATATATAATAAAACAAATGCACGCAGTTCGTGTAGTAGTGGAACAATGAGAGATATATAATAAAACAAATGCACGCAGTTAGTGTAGTAGTGGAACAATGAGAGATATATAATAAAACAAATGCATGCAGTTAGTGTAGTAGTGGAACAATGAGAGATATATAATAAAACAAATGCATGCAGTTAGTGTAGTAGTGGAACAATGAGAGATATATCATAAAACAAATGCACGCAGTTCGTGTAGTAGTGGAACAATGAGAGATATATCATAAAACAAATGCACGCAGTTAGTGTAGTAGTGGAACAATGAGAGATATATAATAAAACAAATGCACGCAGTTCAAATGGTTCAGAACTTTTGGATCAACCCTCGTATAATAAAACAAATGCACGCAGTTAGTGTAGTAGTGGAACAATGAGAGATATATAATTAAACAAATGCACGCAGTTCAAACGGTTCAGAACTTTTGGATCAACCCTCGTATAATAAAACAAATGCATGCAGTTAGTGTAGTAGTGGAACAATGAGAGATATATAATAAAACAAATGCATGCAGTTAGTGTAGTAGTGGAACAATGAGAGATATATAATAAAACAAATGCACGCAGTTAGTGTAGTAGTGGAACAATGAGAGATATATCATAAAACAAATGCATGCAGTTAGTGTAGTAGTGGAACAATGAGAGATATATAATAAAACAAATGCACGCAGTTAGTGTAGTAGTGGAACAATGAGAGATATATCATAAAACAAATGCATGTAGTTAGTGTAGTAGTGGAACAATGAGAGATATATAATAAAACAAATGCACGCAGTTAGTGTAGTAGTGGAACAATGAGAGATATATCATAAAACAAATGCACGCAGTTAGTGTAGTAGTGGAACAATGAGAGATATATCATAAAACAAATGCACGCAGTTAGTGTAGTAGTGGAACAATGAGAGATATATAATAAAACAAATGCATGCAGTTAGTGTAGTAGTGGAACAATGAGAGATATATAATAAAACAAATGCATGCAGTTAGTGTAGTAGTGGAACAATGAGAGATATATAATAAAACAAATGCATGCAGTTAGTGTAGGAGTGGATTAAGAATGAGAGATATATAATTGTTGGCATTAATTCAATAAGAAAGAAATAATAAAAATAAATGTGAAATAAAAATAAAAAATGTGTGAGTTTATGCCGGACTCCCATTGCATTGTTTATCTTGGTTAGCTTGCTGCATCATTGGATATCCTTATCAATGTATACTCTGATGCATCACTGGATACCCTCATATCACTGGATACCCTGGTGCATTACTGGATACCCTAATATCACTTTATATTAGGGTATCCAGTTTTATACCCTAGTGCATCACACGGTACTCTAACACATCACTGGATACAATATTGACTCACTGGATACCATGATGTATCACTGAATAACATTATATTCTTCAAGCATCCATGGATTTTCGAGATAAGATAAACATGCTAATTAGATTTAGTACTGGAATAAAACATAAATCTGACAGTATAAGACAAACTACACGATGCCCATGTCAAGCAGCGTGCCTACTAGGCACGCAGTTTGAAACTCTGACAAACTGCGCGCATATTTCAAAATGCGAGACGGGGAGGACACGACTCCCAAAAAGAGCCAAAATACGAAAAATACAAGGTTAGTCTCGTTCTAAAGATAGTACCATTCTGTGAAGATGAACTTAATTTACTTATAGTACTCAATGTTTTTCCCGATGTAAACCTAGTTATCTCAATATAAGGGTCTTAAGTAACTTCTGTGTTCAAAATTTACAGTGTAAAGTTATATCTATGTCTTTTTATCGTCATTTGCCGTTTATTCAGCCATTGTGTCTGTGTATGCTAGAATATATAGGATCACTCCATCTGATTAAATCAGCAAAGTTTGTGTTCAAAACGATAATACGCCATTAACGTGATTTAAACATTTTTCTTGTCAAACTGCGCACCTATATTCACATGTATTTCCCAAACTGCGTGCCTAAATTTCCAAACTGCTTCCCTATCCAAGCTTGTTTTGTATTATTAGAAAACATAAGCGCCATACAAGGCACATATGTGTCTAATAGTAGAACCCCATAATTGAAACACTATGAGAGTCCATCCACCAAGATGGTGATCTGAAAATAAAAGTTTTTTTCGTTCCCAACTTAATTGTCACTTCTATTATACATTTTGACTTTCAATATGAAAATCTCATAAAATCTGACGATAAAGCAAAATTTCCAAAGCTACATGAAAAACACCTACACGTGCCTCTGTAGAAATTCCAATGATAATATGTAGTTTTAATAGTGTATGCGCACAGTTTGTAATTTCTGGTTAAAATAGGCGCGCAGTTTGTGATTTATTTCTTTTTAATCTCCTGATTATTTGTTTTATCTCGAAATATTTTGAATTATACATGATAAATGTGTAAGGAATTAAATATAAAACAAGTCTAAAGTATTTGTCATTTATGTTTAAAGTGCTAGATCGTAATTTACGTATAAATTCCCGTTAAATCAGTGACGAAAATGCCATTAATCTGCTTATGTTTTAAAACTTAGATTCATTTGCACATAGTTTTTGCTAGTATTTGCAAGATTCGTATATTCGCCACAGAATGAACGCATTGAACAAGAAAACAATGCAGGATAAATGTCTTTAAATTACGTTTCAAAATACAGACTCCAACTTAAATGATGCAATGTTCTTAGGCACGCAGTTTGTGATCGAAACAAGTAGGCGTGCAGCTTGACATGGGCACCGTGAACTAGACAACAGCAGCGCCAAAGCGTAGCAAATCCCATCGAACAGCCATGGCTGGCATTTTAACAAACAAAGTATATAAAAAATGTTATTACACAGTGTGCCATGCTTATAGTATTCACATACCAAATATGAAAAATGGCCGCCTTCTACCAAAAGTGTCATTAGACAGTGAGTCATGCTTATAGTATTCACATACCAAATATCAACAAAGTCGCTCCACTTCTATTTTTGAGTTACAGCAAAAATCGTAAAATAGCTAGTAAAGGTCACCATTTTT